AAAATGTGGTACATCCATTCAATTGAATATCATTCAGCCACAAAAAATAATGAAGTGCAGATACATGTTACAACATGGATGATCCTTGGAGACATTGTGCTAAAGAGGCTGGTTGAAAAAGGCCACAAAGAAAATAGGATTCCATTTATATGGAATGTCCAGAATAGGCAAATTCATAGAGACAGAAAATGGCTGGAAGAAGCTGAAAGTAGGGAGTTATAAATGGGGAATGACTGTTTTTTTTTTTTTTTCAGGGTTTCTTTTTGGGATGATTAAAATGTTCTAAAATTAGATAATGGTAATGGTTGCACAACTTTGTGAATATACTAAAAACTACAAAATTACATATATTAAAAGGATGAATTGTATGATGTATGAATTATATCCCATTCTATCTCAATAAAGCTATTACTAATTTTTAAAAAATCCCACATCCTAGAAAATGTATTAATGATCAGTTACTGAGTTCTGATATGAGTTGGTAACAGGATTTTCTCTGGGAGAAATGGACAAAGGAATTTCCCACTTGTAGTCATCCAGGAGGCAGGTCTTGGACTGTTGTGAAAGGAAAACTGTTTTTATTTTTCTGGCCTTCAGGTAATTGACAGCTTAGATTCTGGATGTGTCAGTGAATTAGGTTAAGGTATATCACAGAAATGCCAAATCAAAATAAAACTAAAACTAAATTAGACTTCTGATAGCACAAGTTTATTCCCTGCTCATTCTTTATGTCATTCGAGGCCATCAGTGGACTCTATTTCTTGTCGTCTTCCCTGGAGCTTGGATTGATGATACAGTCATCATTCCAAAAATTGTTCAGTTCACAGCAGAGGGGTCAAGCTCTTGAGTTCTTGCACTAACAATTATTTGCTTTAGCCTGCATGCGATACAAGTGACTTTTACTCATTGGTCATAGCTAGTTGCATCCTCCACCCAACCAAAGGTAGTCAGGTGATGCAATGCTACTATTGCCCAGAAGGGTACAAATTGGAAACTTTTGGGGAATAACACCAAAGACTACAGTTGTAGGCTGAATAATAGCTCATGAAGATATCAGATTCTTATCTTGGAATCTGTAAATGTTATATTATTGGAAAAGGGTCTGCAGATGTGATTAAGCTAAGGCTCTTAAGAGTGGGATATCATCTAAGTAGGCCCTAATGACACAGTATGCATCTTTATAAAAGAAAGGCAGAGGAAGATTTGACACAGACAGAAGAGGAAGGGGCAACATGACCATGGAGGTGGAGACTGGAGTCAGGCAGGAATGCAGCTGGTCACCAGAAATTGACAGAGGCAAGAAATTTTCCCTTAGTGCCTCCAGAGGGAATGTTATCCTGCTGATTCCTTGATTTCTGCCCAGTGAAACTGATTTTGCACTTCTGGCTTCCAGAACAGTGAGAGATTACATTTGTGTTGTTTTAAGCCACCAACCTTGTAGTATTTTGTTACAGCAGCCACAGGAAATGAATATTAACTGTCAGATTACATATGGTAGCTGTGTTTTGAGTACTTTCTTTAGGACAACTAAATTCGTCCCTTTTACATAGTCATATATCCATAACCACACTAAAGCCAAGCAAAAGAATTAAAGAAAGAAGAACTAAATAGTAAACCAAAATCAAAAAACTTAAACCTGTGAACTCACAGGACTGACAGTATCAAACTAATCACTCTTCACTAGAATCAAACGGCACTATCCTCCAGACCTTAGAAAACTCACTGAAGTTTATGGTGCTGTCTTTACTAAACATAAGAAGGTGACCTAAAATCGACAAGAAGGGAATAGCAAAAGAACAGGCCGTGGACCGTGGTCAGAGCAAGTCAGTTAGCTGAAATGACAAGTGACAACCAGGTTGATTCTGTGGAACGTATAGACATTCCTCATGTAATCCTTGAAACACTTCCAAAAGAAAACGTTTTTAGCATCTGGATTTCTTGATGTCTGTCAAGCAAAATAGAATTTGAGCTCTAGTGACTTGGATATTTAAAGGAAGTGTGATATTATAACAAACTTAAATTTTTAAATCATTGAAATTAAAAAACTGGAGGAACCCTTGGAGAAACATTTAGCACTATTAATTCATTATACTAATAAAACACTGAAGCTCAGAGGAATTATTAGAGCTTCCATTTCTCCATCTTTAAAATGTAAAGTTGGATAAGACCATCTTGAGTAATTCTTAAAGACTTGGGGCTCTATTAATTAATTTGATAACTAGCTCTAACATTCAATATTGGCAAGAAATCCAAAGTAGACCTGGACACTTTAAAATTGTATATATGAGATAATATTAGTTGTTTTTTGTTGGTTTGTTTGCTTTTAAGAGTGCAGTGGTGTGATCATGGCTCACTCTCAAACTTCTGGGATCAAGGAATCCTCCTGCTTCAGCTTCCTGAGTAGCTGGGGCAACGGGTATACATCAGCATGCCTGGGTACTTTTTTTGTTTTGTTATGTTTTACGTATAGGATCTTTCTCTGTTTCCCAGGCTGGTCTCAAGCCCCTGAGTTCAAATGATCCTCCTGCCTCAGCCTCCCACAGCATTGGGATCACAGCATGAGCCACCACACCCAGCCTCACAAGCAGTTTTCTTTCTTCTCAGGAATGTTTCTGGGGTCAAAAGTGATTATTACAGAAATAATAATTATCATCAAAGATGGTTTAATGCTAAATATAAAGTGGCAAATTACTTAAAAAAGTTTATGAAAATATGTCAGTATGTCTTGGAACATTTTGATAAATAGTGGATGAGCAAGGGAGTGAGTGAGCAAATGAAATTTTTAAAAAAATCTCAAAACAAAAGTATAGATGGTCTTTTATCTAAAATGCCGCAGAAAATATGGCTCTACCTCCAAAATATACATAAATCTGACCACTTACCACCTTCACCATTTCATGTTGATCTAACCACTATCATTTCTTGCCTGTGTTATTTCAAAGTCTTAAATAGTTCCCTGTTTCTACTCAAGCCCTAAGTCTATTCTTAATACCACAGCCAGAGGGATTCTTTAAAAATATGTTAAATCGTTATTCCTTTGCTTAAACTTCCTTTCACACAAATAGCTTCTTATCTCATGGAGATTAAAGCTAAAGTACTTCCAAGACCTTACAAGGCTCCTCTCAGCTGGCTGTCCCCCCTACCTTATTAGCTTATTCCTACTACTCTCCTCACTCACTGGCTTTGGTCTAATCATCTAATCACACAGGCCACTTTTATTCTTCAAATACACCATGCAAATTCTCATCTCAGAGCATTTGGATTTCTTGTTCCTCTGCGTAGAATCCTCTTCCAAGTCACATAGTGGCATGATTCCCTGCCTCTCTTCCTTCATCCCTCCTTAAATGTCACTTTTCCATTATGGTCTTCCCTGGTCACCTTATATAAAACAGCAACAACAACCCCTCCCCAGCTTGGCACTCTCTATTTCTCCTTACTCAGCTTTATTTTTCTCCGCTGTGCTAATCATCAAATGAAATGCATTCACTTGTGAATTTGTTCACTGTTTGTTGCTTTCTGTTAAAATGGATATAAGAACTGTGTTTTTTTCCACTGCTGTATCCCTAGAGCTTAGAACAAAGTCTAGCACAAATGGGATACTCCATAAATGTTTGTTGAATGAATAAATGAATGCAGCTTATTTACTTGTTTGTTTTTTGTTTCAGACAGGGTCTTGCTCTGTTGCCCTGGCTGGAGTGCAGTGGTGCAATCATGATTCACTGCAGCCTCAATCTCCGCAGCTCAAGTGATTCTCCCACTTCAATCTCCTGAGTAGCTGGGACCACAGGCATGTGCCACTACACCAGGCTAATTTTATAATTTTTTGTAGTGACAGGGTCTTCCTATGTTGCACAGGCTGGTCTTGAACTCCTGACCTCAACAGATCCTCCCACCTCGGCCTCCCAAAGTATTAGGGTTATAGGCATGAACCACCATGTTTGGCCACAAATGTAGTTTAAATATTAGGGGATTTGTTATATAAAATTACAAGAAGAGGTAATTTTCCACAAGTCTGTCTCAGTTGTTCAATGACATCATCAAAGACCTTCCACTCTGCTATCCTCAGGGTGTTGGCTACTGTCATAAAGCTTGCTTCAAGATTGCAAAATGGCTACTGCAGTTCTAACCATCATAATCACTCACAAATATTTGTATGCAATCATTCAGTTAGTAAGTAAATTTTATGAGATAGTACTAAGTACCAGGCATTACTGTAAGCATGGGAACATAACCATAAATAAAACAGGAAGTCACTACTCTCATGAAGCGTGCTAGGCTGGAGTGCAGTGGCACAATCACAATTCACTGCAGCTGTGACCTCCCAGGCTCAAGCCATCCTCTTGCCCCAGCCTCCTGTGTAGCTGGAATTGCAGGTGTGCAACAGTAGGCCTGGCTAACTTCTGTAATTTTTGTAGAGACGAGGTCTCACTATGTTGCCCAAGCTGCTCTGGAACTCCTGGGCTCAAGCAATCTCCCCACCTCAACCACCCAAAGTGCTGAGGTTTCAATTATGAACCACTTTACCTAGCCCTCATTCACGTAACTTTAATCATGAAAAAAAATATACCTCTGAAGTCAGCAAACCTCCTTCATGGGTCAGCAATATGTCATATGACTAACCCTCCTTGTAAAGGAAGTTGGAAAAGCAAGTCTCTAAAATTTTCAGCCTCTACCATGACAGGTGGGTTTTGCAATAGGAAAGAAGTAGTAAAGGGAACAGCTGCTGGAGAAGCAATCAACAATGTTTGCTATAAATCATGTTAAACATAGGTAGTCATTCAGTTTCTGTTTCTTGACAAAGCATTAAGGTTGACAATTACTGCCCTGTGGCTGAAATTTAATATTTCTCTCTGAAGGTTTTTGTTTTCTAAGTTTCTGTCACTTATTTTAACAGCCTTAATGATGCAGTATCTCCAACATTCTAACAAACAGACTTTGGAAATTCACCAAGGAATGCTGGATTGCTCCCAGGACTAAGTGATGGTATTTAATTTGCTCACCTGGAAAATAGTACAATTCCAGAAAAGACCATTTCTTCTTGTATTACTTATTGGTCGACCAGCCACCTTTAGGCCAAAGCTGTGAATATATATAATCTGTCAGCCTTCTCTATGTGTTCTTCAGGACCAAGTCTGAGTATCAAACTTCTTTTGTCCAGTGTAACTGCAAGAGCCACTTTAGACTCTTCACTTTGCTTCTCCGTAGGCAATAAAGCAGCAGTTCCAACACCGTTGTCCAAACAGTAAATGAGAAGTGATGTTTCAGTATAAGGCTCTGTCTGGAAAAGAAGAGAAAGAGGCAGCTTTTCTGACAGAGCCGTTCACACTTTTCCTGCACAGCTGGGAGACATTAGCTGAATTTCCCCAGACTGGTCTGCTTTCTGGCACAGTAAGTTAAAAATCCTGAGAGCCTTCAAGGTAAGCTGGATTTCTATCATACACATTTAGCAGCTAAATCACCAAAAGTCACTTTCAAAAATTCACGCAAAGCTGCATCTTCACCCAAGGTGAGGAGTTCAACAGAAGTTAGCAAAATGGGGATTGTGGGCAGGAGGCAGGGAAAGAAAGAGAAAATATTGATAGATTATCTCTGTTCAAAAGCTGCTTTCATTTTGAAGAACTCTGTGCTCAGGAAAGGAGATAGAAGATAGTTCTGCAATAAATAGTATGGGACATATATGAAAAGAATAAATAATATTTCAATGTGTGTCAGTTTCCATTTCTGACACCACATTAAGGGGCTGGGAAGAGCATACAAAGAGCCATAGGCTGGGTGTGGTGGCTCACGTCCAGCACTTTGGGACGCAAGGCAGGCATATCATGAGGTCAGGAGTTTGAGACCAGCCTGGTCAACATGATGAAACCCTGTCTCTATTAAAAATACAAAAAATTAGCCAGGCATGGTGGTGCACACCTGTAATCTCAGCTACTTGGGAGGCTGAGGCAGGAGAATCGTTTGAACCTGGGAGGTGAGGGTTTGAAGGTTGCAGTGAGCTGAGATCGCCGCATTGCACTCCAGCTTTGGCAACAAGAGCAAAACGCCATTAAAAAAAGAAAAGCCATAAAATTTGTATTAGGCATTGGAAATTTATTAAGCAAATACCCACATTTTAGGATACTTTTTTTCACCATGCAGTCTGATATGCCTTTCTCAACAGCTATTGACTGAGTTGATACAAAATTATACATAAAATCTGTTTGATGTAAAACCTGTTGTAAATATCTAGTCTCACTATAACTTCTGTCAAAATTACCTTAAATCAAAAGCCTGAAACATTTATTATGGAGATTTTTTTTAAAATCCTGTGTTATTGGGACAGAGAAGATGAAAAATGAAAACAGCACCTCAGAATAGAAAAGGCTAGATTTGGCCGGGCACGGTGGCTCACGCTTGTAATATCAGCACTTTAGGAGGCTGAGGTGGGCAGATCACCTGAGATCAGGAGTTCGAGACCAGCCTGGCCAACATGGTGAAACTCCATTTCTACTAAAAATACAAAAAATTAGCCAGGCGTGGTAGTGGGTGCCTGTAATCCCAGCTACTTGGGAGGCAGAGGTAGAAGAATAGCTTGAACCCAGGAGACTGAGGTGGCATTGTGCCGAGATCATGCAATTGTACTCCAGGCTGGGCAACAAGAGCAAAACTCCTCAAAAAAAAGAGGCTAGATTCTAATCCCACATCATGATTAATTGTGAGATTTTGAACATGTCATTTAGCCATGGGGCTCAAAGTCCTGTCCCCTTTGCTTTACGGGAATTTCGTTATGAAAAACTCTATTTGCCCAGGTATTTTGTGTGATCTATTATCAGCTTTTGATTCCATAGATAAGGACAATCTCTTAGCTTTTTATTTATATTCTGCCTTATTCCACAAGGACTCTCAGGCTGCTCTGTGGGCCAACTTACATGACTTTGGTGTAGAACTCAGATTTTAAGTGTTTATCTAAATCAATATGGCAATACCAGAATGAATTTTGAAAGGGTTAGTTCTAATTTTAAATGGCTTAAAACTGGATAGCACCTAAACATTTTTATTTATAATTTGTGCCTATATAACTTAATCTGGCTCAAAAGATCTATATATTTCCTCCTATATATGCCCCAACATATATAGAAACGTAGAGACGAGTATCCTTCCCTATGTTGATGATATAATCTTACTGTTATAAGAATGTCCTTAAGAAATAATGGAACCTGCTGGCATATTGCCAATTTGAATTAAAAAAAAAAAAAGAATCTTATGGTTTCTCTATTTTCTGAACAGGGGGAATCCCTGTGGTAGGGCTAAAGAGAGAGAGAAGAGGCAGGTGGTTGTGGCTCCAGCCTCACCCCACCCCCAAAGAGGAGTGTTTTCATTCGGTGGTGTTTTTATTTATTTATTAGGCTTCTAAACAAATTTTATTCAAAAAAGGAAATTCTTGATTAAAAGAGACAGTCTGATCTAGGTGAAGAGAGGCAAAACCAGGAGCCACTGGAGTGAATCTTGCCCATGGAATTTTTTGTCCTGTAATACATCATTAAAATGTTTACATACGTTGCCAATATTTAGTTATTTTACATAAAAATCTGGATTTCTGGGTCTCTTGACAATTGGGGAGGACTGGAAACACTGAGACGCATTCCCACACACAACAATGAGCTGGAGCTGTGTACTGGCTGCCTAGCTTTAGAAAGTCACACACTCTCTAATTCACTGTGTCCCCGCTACTCCCTGGTTTTTTATCTACCTAATTGTATTCACACATTTATTTTACTTGTCTCACACTTGGGGCAATTCTGGGAGGTGGCCCTGATCTACATGTATCTCAACACCAGTACATTCTGGTATGTTGACCAGGATGTGCTCCTACTTAAAATTAATATTCTGAGTTAGCCACATTGAGTCTTTGGGACAGAATTCAATAGCTTCAACCATGGGTTTGTTTCAGCATTTGAACAGATCCATGGACTTTGTTCTGCCTTAGCTTCTTTGTAGCATTTTGTGAAGAGGAGCTGGTTCCATGTGGGCATAACTTGAAGTGGAACTAGTAGGCCATCAGTTTGCTCATAATCTCTAAGGAGGTTTGATTGCAAATCTGCCTTTAAACAACAGCTCAGAGGTTCTTTACCCTACTACACTCTACAGCAATCTCAGACAGAATCATAGCCAAGAGGAGACATACTGGAAGGTTGTCCAAGCAGTGCTTTTTAAACTTATTTTTACTACAACTTATTTTACTGCAGTAAGGGATGTATTCAGCCACAGGTATACACACTTCCGTGCATGCACACACGCACACAGACACACACACGTTTTATGTTATAGTGCTTACCCTTAATACAAATACTCTATTTGTATACATGTACATATGAAATACATTGTTTCATTTCTTTAAGTGCTGTTTGTTACCTACTATCTAGATCTCACAAATTCTTGGGCATAGTTTGCCATTTAAAAAACATAGGTTTAAAGAACATGCTGTTAATTAATTTCCTAGATTTTTAACATTCTATCTTCATATTAGCTAAATTATAAAAATATGCCTATACAATATTATTTTAGTTCTCTATGGAACTGCATCACTAAATTATGAACTATATTACCTTGGCTTTTCATCAAGTGCTATCATAAGAAATGGTCATTTTCTTACCTAGTGTCCTTTGTAGAACAATATTCCTTTATAATGTGACATAATGTGTTCCTCTTGGAGTTCAAGAAAAGTTGATTTTCCTGACCGATATGTAATCTTCTACTAGATAGTCATTACTGAATAACATCTTTTCTTTTCTATTTTACTGTAACAGTTAGCAAACTTAAAACTTTAGTACTTGCCTATTGTAGCTTTTCTTCACCTAGATTCTCTAGTGTGATTCTTTCTTTCTCCATGTCTGCAGTCCAACTATCTTTCTTTCATCAGTTCTCATCTAAATTACTACAATAGTTTCTAGTCACTTTCCCTGCCTCCTCTAATTCTAATCCTTACTCCACACTGCTGTGGAATGATTTTTTCTAAGACACAAATGTGACAATCTAAAAAGAAAAGATTATTTCCCTGGCTTCAAATTCTTCCATGGATCTCCTTGAGTATTACCTTCAATTGCTGTGGCTTACATATAAGAATTTTTTTTTGGAAACTAGGTTAGATAAATATTGTTTATATAATATTAAAATTTGTAATACTCCAAAAACTTTGATAGAAAAGAAAAAAAACATCTATAAGTCCAATAAAGGATGTTGATCAAATGATTATGTATGATTTTTGGTATGTGCATATGGAAATTTAAAATTATGCTTATATATGTAGAAATATTCTTATCTATTCAACAAAAGAGAAACATCCACACATGGATCTTAAACTGGCAGCTCAAGAGCCAAAACCATCCCTCCAACAGCTTAGCTTGTCATGAACAATATTTTAGAATTTCTATTTTGGATATTTTTAGATGGACATGTGGTTTCTGGTTCACTACTCTCAAGTTTCTTACACATAGTTCATCACATTCATTTTAGTTACCTGCCAGATCCCTAGTGGCTTCAGAATTTATCATTTTTGTTAGAAAGTTGAAAGGTTTAAGAGAGGTGGTCAAGCAAGGCCTTTCTCATCATAATCCATTCTTCTCCCAAATGCTGGTTTTGCTTCTGCTTTTTGCATCCTTTCCAGGTTTGATTCTAAAAGTACCTGAAATTCTAAAGATAAAAGAATTGTCTTCCTATCAGTCCAGGTAAAAAGCAAAACAAATAAAACCCTAGGTAAAGTTTTGAAAAAGGCATCTCTGATGAAGTGGCATTTAAGCTGCAAAACGAAGGATGAGGAGGAATGAGCTATGCAAAGAAACAAAGGACGTTCTGAGAGAGGTAGCAGCAAGGACAAAGGACCTGAGATAGGAAAAAGTTGGTGTGTTAGGCCAGTGTAAGCGAGACTTAGTAAGAAACAGTAAGAACTGTTAGCATGTTAAAAACATTGCCCAGGCTGGGAACATGAAGCTCTCCACAGACCATGATAAGGAGTCTGGATGTGGGTCAACATGCAACAGGAATCCTTCAATACTTTTGAGTAAGGAGTAATTGGGATGATTTCAGTTTTTAAAAGATCATTCTGGCTGCCGTGCAGAGGATGGCTGGTACAAGGGTAATAAAGGAAGCGAGGAGAACTTATAGGAGGCTACTGCAGTAGAATAAGTGGCAGATGATGGTGGCTTGAGCTAGGTGACAGTGGTGGAGATGGAAATAACATTTGGACTTGACAAATATTTTAGAATATAAATTGCAGGAATTGCTGATTTGCTGGATGTGAAGGTG